TACCTCTGGAGATTTATAGTGTTAACAAATCTCAGCAATCAGACAAAATACAAACTAACAATCATAGACATGACATGCTCATGCTTTATAGACAAAACGCAAATGGCCAGAAATCCCAAAAAATACGCACAACGCAAGCATGGAAGCTCAATATAAAAAATTATAATCATCGTACTGACAGAAACTGTAAATTCTGGAGAGACACCAAGGCAGCAAAGAGATGGCAGTTAAGCACACAATAACGCGGCTATATTAGTCTACCGTCCAATAGACCAAAAAACAGCAGAAAGTAGGTCCATCATAATCCTCGAAAAATGAATTTATGCACAAGCAATGCTTGCGCGATTCACATCAAATCTGACACTAAATGTCTCACTCTAGCAACAAACACCACATATGACTGATCTCAGAGCCACTGACAACAACATAACGACCCCATGAGCAGCTGAAAACCGAGCGATTTAGCGGAGGGAGCAGCTGAAGATGAAACGCAGGAAGTCTTAAGAGCATCGTACGGGCGGGACAGTATGAGTTTCTAGCACTCGCCTCAACACCAAAACACCAAGTTGACACCACAAAGCAGTGGTCATGAATGAAGATGAAGAGATAATAACCAATCTTTTTACTACCGAACATTCGTCGTAGCAAAGGAGAAGAAGAAAGAAACATCAATGACCGAGTATCATGGGAAAATTTATATTTATCAATATGGACGGTTGTTTCCAAACTGGTGGAACGTTATTTTGTCCATTGTAAGCTGGTGCATAGGTTATGCCTGAGACGGCAAGAAAAGTGGAATGGCAGTGTATGAATTCCGGATGAACGTAACGCACCGAGATCCGCGAGATCGTAACAAGATCAGCTCTAATTTTTGAAAAAAAAAGAAAAAAAAAGTAAACATAAAATAAAAAATGACGTTTAATGATTCAAACGAAGGGAACAAATTCAACAGGTTTTTTGCTTTCACATGCACTTGGAAAAAATAGATGACTGGGCTTGTAACAATAAGGAAAAATCAACCTACAGTGAGACTCACAACCATGACGACCATAACATCTTGTGCTGAAATTAGGAAAGGAGGATGACAAAGGAGAGGGGGCGAAGGGAGAGAAAGAGAAGGAGATGAGAGCAATTTACAAAACAAAGGGACCGCCTGGGAGATAAAGGGTGTAAAACCGGGATGATTATTGACGGCACGACAGTACCCGAGCACTCAGGAGGCCGCTGGTCCTTTTTTTTTTTTTTTTTTCCCCACTCCTGACTTCCTACTCCCTCTCTCTCCTCGGTCTTCGTCTCTCCGTGCTGGCCCGATAGAGGTTAAGCGAAGCTTATTTAAACTCAGGAAAAGATTTCAAATCTGTTGTGGAGCCAAAACTGTGTTCAGGTTGTTAGCATTTCATAATGATGAGTGGAACAGGTGTAGGAACATCAAAGGGCAGTGTGGAATATGACAGTCTTCAGTATGCCGGAGAGTTAAGTGCTGTCTGCTCAACAGGAAGAGGCCGTTATCATTCACTGGAGGTTGTCAAGTGACCGTAATGCGTCATCTGTTCAATAGCCGCTCGTGACAAAGGCTTTCAGTCCTGAGAACAGTTTTCTGAGCGCAACTAGAATCCTGTTAAGTGGCGATGTAAAGAACTCTGACCACCCCAGTCTTTGTTTTTTGTTTTTTTGTTTGTTTCCTCTTACACAGTGTGGACACAGACTTTTGACCATGACTGGACACTGCGAGATAAAAGAAAAAAGACAGCGTTTGTGTGTCCTTGCAATATTCAGTTGAACCTAAAGAAGAAAGAAAATCAAAACATATTGCCAAGAGACCATGAGAAATGCAGGGATTCATAACAAAACACGACTTTTTAAAAAAGAAAGCGATAATTTTACAAACATTCCTCCATATAAAAAATCTATTTTAAGTTTTATTATGGAGCAGGACAGGTAAGTTAAGAATTTATGCCTCCGATACTGACCTGAGCTTCATCCTAGGTGCGGGGAGGATGTTCAGGTGAAATTAATCTTAAATGGGCTCTATCAATATTTAACATTTCTGTTTATCTCCTCTTGTATTTTTTTTTTCTCAACCCGAAATTTTAGAATAACATTCAAGTGGTCACTGCGAAGAATCGAATGAAAATGAGATATGGTTTGGTGGTAATGCTTGGTAATTGACTCTAACTTGGCTGGTAGGTGGAATGGATGCGAACTGAGGATCCCGAACAAAATAAGTTTGAACTCTAGATGTGTGTTCACGCAACAGAGGGTGGGCCACAGAGGGCTGCATGCTAGGTTTAAGAACAACTAGGACAGCAAAAGCACAGAGCAGCTTGTTTAGGGTTATGTTACTCTACAAGGTCAACGATCAGGACGGGAGCGGGTATTTATCAGGCAATTAGAGTGTATGTAAGACCGCTGCGTGTAGAGAGTTGTGGGCGCACGCGACTCACGTTGGGAAGACACGAGGGCAAAAGCCATTGGGAAAGTCTTTCCCTCGGAATGTCTTTTAAGCTGGGCTGCCTTTTATCTGCAGCAGTGGGTATATAGCCGGGATAAGGTCAATAAGTTTGTCTGAGAGCAGGATGAGTAGGTCTCTCTGTGGTGAATAACATTCACACGGCAGTCTGACGGTATTGACTGGATGATGAAACCCTGGAAACCGTCAAGTCTCTGTGTGGTCTGGTTGCTGTGTGTGTGCACGTAGCCGCACTCACACACAGCTCGCTTCGTCGTCTGCTATGTGTGCTGAGGAATAGCTGTTCTTGATCTTCTCTTCCTCTCCTCAGTCACACATCATTACACCCCGGGGACTCTATACAATCAAGGGAGATTTTATATCGCCGCGTCCATAGTAGATTTACATTCAGGACGATTGAGGGGGCGGCGACTCCGTATTTGTGCTAGCCACATGTTTGGACGCACCTAAGCTACAAGTTCCCAAAACAAAGTTCTGTTCAGACTGCTACAAAAACCCAACCCACACAGACCACACACAAAGACGCACAGAGGGCCTCACTACACACATCTGAGACCCCCCCTCCCCCCCCCCCCAGTAACAAGAGAGAGGAGAGAGGGAGAGGCAGAGAGAAGATTGAGATGTGAGAGAGAGGAAAAACTGCCAAATATAAGGCACAAATAAGGCAACAACATGAAGCACCTACATTGGGCAACACAGACAGACTCAAACACACCTTCGCACCCTCCCCGCACCACCACCACCCACCATTTAAAGGGCGAGCTTCGGTGTGCAACAGTGCCCCACAATCCAAGCTGCATGTAAATCCCTGTAGAGAATAGAACCGCCGCGACCTTTGGGCTGTGTGATACGCTAGAGCTGCAGTGTCACTCCCACGCCCTGCGCTCTGAACACTTGACTGTGGGAGAATTTCTGCAGGCACTCTCCCTCTTATCTCACAGCAACACTGGTGAGAAGCGATCAGCGCCACCCACCAAACCCACACTCACACACGAACCTGCCTCCCACACCACACACACACCCCTACCACACATCCGCCATCCACCACCCACCACCCCCATACACAATCAACACCACCCGATCTTTCCTCCTAGGTTAGAAAGCCGTTCCCGTTGAAGGCGAGCCGAGTTTGACATTTTTTATCCTTTAATCGCACTGCTTCTCAACAATCTCTCTCTCTTCTCGCTCGCTCTCTCTCTCCCCGGCTTGGTGAGTGTGGGCACACGCGGAGATGGCACATAGATTAGGTCACACGCTGGGATGCCACTGACTGGCGGCAAACCACTTGACTATAAGCTACAGATGGCAGCAATTGGGCATTGGCATATGAACAATATCTGTATCAATGTTCATCCAGGGTAAGACGTGCGCAGCCCATACCAACTTTAATATTATTAAGGGCATCTAACCTTATGTAGGCCAGCCAATCAGTAGCCCACCATCCCAAACCTACACCCACAAATCCAACCCCGGCTCGGCCGGAGCAAGGCACAACTAACATGTTTGAATGCTTGCAGTGTAGCGACCAAAAGGCTTAGTACACAAACTATCAACCCGTGCCTGCTGAGGTCTAATAATGAGACAACTATCTCCCGAAAGCCTCAATCAGACAACAATAAAAAACCTTCAAATCGCTGTCTCATCGAGCTGGTTGGGGTGCGGTGGGAGGGGCTCACTTGGGTGTGTGTTTATTGCTTTCGGGTCGCGTCAGTCTGGGCGTGTTTTTGAAGCTCAAGATATCAGTAACGTTACTTGTTCCGCCCCTAAGCATAGAGTTGGCCGATGAGCTGAGGACAGATTACACAGACAGGAGTCTGGACTGCCAGAACCACACACAGACAGCGAGAACTACAACACACACACACACGACCCCGACACACACCACACCATCACACAAGCACACAACACACACACACCACACACAAACTAACGCTCAGGATACACAACACAAATAGGATATATAAATACCAGAGTTTAAAGGTAAAGGCCATTATCAGACCCAGTGGAGAAGGGAGTATCCCGGAAACACACACGACAATAAACAACATAACACACTTAAATCAACAGTCCAGGTCATGGGTCTCTCTTTGAAATACACGGATGAGCGAATGGAAGTTGAGCGGGTAAGTGAGAAGATGGAGTGATAATGAATGATCTATTCAACTTATATTGTGCACTTGTAGAAAAGTCTAAAAAATAACTGCTATTGTGAACTGACTTCACGGGTTCGAGGAATCTCCTCATCAAAAAGTAGTAAGTAAGAGCAACATCAGAGGTGCGACGAGGAGAGGGAACAATTAATTCACACAGGTGTGTGGTAATTACTGTGTTGATACTGAGCTATTCTGGAGAGTTTTCCTGGCCAGCACTATAGCGGATGCCTGGATAACACACACGCGCACGTACACACATAACACACACACAGCAAATCGCAACACTGACAGAAGCACACACCAAATACATACACAACACAGCACATTTACATCACACCACACGCACATAGCACACACTACAAAACACACACACATCGAGCACACGTTTTAATGCTTGCACACAAAACTGCAGCTGAAGTGGTCGTTCGGCTTGGGCCTGTGTTCTGCGTTCTGGCCCGTGTGCTAGGATGGTGTGTTTGTAATTGGTGTAAGCAGACTGTAACTTGGGATGAGATAAAGTTATATCCTGCCCATTAAAGGGGAACAGCAAACCAGGAAGTGTAGTTTCCATCTTTGGTTGTGTCCAGCCTCGCCCCTGTTCGGAGCACGAGGGAGAACGTAGAAAGGTGGGTGAGTGGGGATATTGGAGTAAGGGGGGTTGGGAGGGGGGGGGTAGTTTAGCATTCATTTTTCCATCCTCTCACCAGTTGTGCTGTGAATAAAAATGCTGTGCAGAATATTCTTCCACAGTCAAGGTGTTCAGCCAGCGAGGACACTGCAGCTCAGCTATCACACAGCCCAGGGCAGCGGCACCCAGACAGGATTTACTGCAGCTGGATGTGTGCACGTGTGCACACCGAAGCTCGCCTTTAGGTGGGGTGGTGGTGGCGGGGGGTGCGGGGTGGTGTTTGAGTCTGTCTGTGTGCACATGTAGGTGCTTCTATGTGTTGCTTATTTGTGCTTATATTTGCAGTTTTTCCCTCTCTCTCACTCTCTCTCTCTCTCTCTCTCTCTCTCTCTCTGTGTGTGTGTGTGTGTGAATGCCTCTGTGGTGTAGCAGCTGAACAGACTTGTTTTGGGACTGGAGCTAGGTGCTCCCAAACAGTGTGGCTGCCAAAGTACGGAGCGCCGCAGTCCCGGTTAATGATGTGTGAGAGGAGAGGAGAGAAGATAAGAACAGCTATTCCTCAGCACACGCAGACACGAGCTGACGTTTGATGCGCACGTGCACACACACGCACAGACACACAGAGACTGACGGGTCCAGGTTTATCTCCAGTCAAACGGTCAGACTGCCGGTGAATGTTTATTCACCAGCAGAGAGACCTATCATCCGCTGCCACAAACTNCCCACCCCCACCCCCCTACTCCTTCCCTCACCTCCCACCTTCTACGTCTCCCTGCTGTGCTCCGACAGGGGGGCGGAGCTGGAGCAAACCAACAGATGGAACTACAGCTTCCTGGTTTGCTGTCCCCTTTTAATGGGCAGGATATAACTTATCTCAGTTCCCTGAAGTACAGTCTGTGCTACACCCAATTAAACACACCATCCTAGCACACGGGCAGGAACGGGCAGACACAGGCCCCGAACGCCACTCAGCCTGCAGTTTGTGTGCAAGCATAAAATGTGTGTGTGTGTGTGTGTGTGTGTGTGTGTGTGTGTGT